CTTGCTGGTCTTGGGAGCATGTGCAGATACGAGGGCCTTCAAAAATGGCCCTCTCCAAAACAACTGTGAGATATTATCTCACCCCAGTAAAAACAGCAAAATTTAACAAAACAACAAGGAAAAGAGTGAATTGGGGGGAGGGGTAGGCAGAGGGAAAAGTGCAGCAATGAATGACTGGAAATCCTAAGTTTCTGTAAACATCATTAAAATTAATTTTTTAAAAAAATGATCCTTTCCAGGGGAGCTCTTTCCAGATGGCTGCTCCTTAGAAAGCCATACAGGAATTACTCACATGGCACCTGATAGCACTTGGTCTGCTAAGCTTTTAGTCTGTTGGAAGTTGTAAGGTTGCGGAGGTAATTGAGTGTGTGTGCTTCAGTCCTGAGGGAGCTCTGGTGGCCTAACAGAAGGCGCACTGGTAACCCAAAGTGGTTCAAACCCACCAGCTGCTCCACTGGAGAAAAATGAGAAGTCTCTGCCCATGTGCTTTCCTGCCTCTGAAACCCTTCTGGAGGGTCAGCTATGGGTCAGTTCTGATTTACAATACCTGTGTTAACTGACTGTTGGCTTTTCCTAGATTGAAGCCTTCCTTTTAAGGGAAAATAATTCAGCACTTAATTTAAAGAGGGAAAGGAGATGGGAAACTTAGAAAGGTTGTGATTCAGAGCAAAGTTAGCAGTATCCTAGTTAATATTTAAAACAAAGTTTTTCTTCTTATTCCTTGAAAAGGTTATCCTTGATATAAGGCCTGACGGTCCTATTATTAATAGAAAGGAGTGCCCTTCACTATAGATTGTAGAAGCAAACCACAACAGTTAAAGGATTTAAACTTTGTAAAGTCCCAGAACACTTGATTGTGCTTATGCGAAACCTATACTTGGACCAGGAGGCAGTCATCAGAACAGATCAAGGAAAGAGTGCATGGATCAAAATTGGGAAGGATGTGCGCCAAGGATGTGTCCCATCTCCATATCTTTTCAATCTGTATGCAGAACAGATTATCCAGGAGGCTGGGGTCTATGCGGAGAAACGTGGCCATGGCATCAGTATTGGAGGTAGACTTATCAACAATCTGCGTTATGCAAAAGACACAACCCTGCTTGCTGAAACTGAGGAGGACCTGACGCACTTGCTACAGAAGGTCAAGGACTGCAGCCTTCATTATGGATTGAAGCTCAACATCAAGAAAACAAAGATTCTCACCACTGGGCTGATTGGCAGCATCACGATAGATGGTGAAAAGATTGAGACTGTTAACAGTTTCTGTTTGCTTGGCTCTACAATCAACACTCTTGGTACCAGCAGCCAGGAAATTAAAAGATGAATTGCATTGGGAAAGTCTGTTGTCAGAGACCTCTCCAAAGTACTGAAGAGTAATGATGTCAGTCTAGAGACTAAGGTGAGCCTGATACAGGCATGGTCTTCATAATTACTTGCTATGTATCAGAGAGCTGGACAATGACTAGGGATGATAGAAGGAGAATTGATGCCTTTGAGCTGTGGTGCTGGAGAAGAATATTGAATATACCATGGACTGCTAGAAGAACAAATAAGTTTGTCCTGGAGAGGGCAAAGCCAGACTGCTGCTCCTTGGAGGCAAGGATTCTGAAGCTTCGTTTTACATACTTTGGATATATTGCATGGCAGAATCAGTCCTTGGAGAGGGACATCATGCTTAGAAGGGTGGAGGGAGAGCGCAGGAAAGAAAGACCCTCGATGAGAAGGATTGATTCAGTGACTGGGGCAATAGAGGTAGGTGTGTCGGAGACAGTAAGATTGGCAAGGGATAGAACAGGATTTAGGGCAGGCGACTCAGCAACACGTAACAACAACAAAGTTATGTTCAGAATCATCTTTCTAGACTAAAATGACATTTCTCCTCTTTAAAGTACTATTAATGACATGTTTTGAAAATGCTTTCTTGCCTACTGCAGTGTATTCATCCAAGAATACGAAAGAAATTTTTACATCCAAATTACAAGATTAATTAATGCAGTAACATCTGGAAGGTTAAATAGAAAGAATTACGTTACAGTTATGTTTCATAACTTTAACAGATGAATCGTCATCATGAAAATTCATTCTTACTGCCATCAAGCTGGAACCAAGTTATAGCTGAAACACACTGGCCTCTGAGACTGGGGAATCTCCTAGGAGGAGGTTGTCCATTGTTGTCCAGAAGAGCACCTGGTGGACTTAGATGACTGGAGAGGGGTAGCTTTAGGGTCAGCAGCATGATTGCAGGAGGTGTGGTTTTCATGCCCAAGTCCCTACCTGCCCCTGCCCCAAGGCCACTGTTCAATATGATTTGCTCTCACTGCCTCCCCAATCCCAGGACAGCTTCTGGTATGTGGTCCTGTTAATGTCAGAATGAGTGTGCTACAGTGGATTATTTAATAGGGCTTTTCTGGTTGTTGTAGGTGGAATTCTTACCTCGTGGCTGGCTAGGACGATGCAAATGTGACGTGTGTGTCCCCTCAGGTTCCTAATCATGAAAATAGTGCCTCTAGGGAGAAGGCATACAAATAAGATGTGTAGGTTGCTAAGATGGGGTTGTTCATGCACATCCAAAAACTTCTTCAACAGGGAAAAAGGGAAGCCACAGACTGGGGGAAAGTATTTGGTAATAACATATCAGATAAGGGACTTATATCCAGAATTTATAAAATACTTGAGCACCACAACAAGATAAAGGTAAATAATCCAATTGAAAAATGGGCACAGGATATGAACAGACACTTCACCAAAAAAGACATTCAGATGGCTAACAAGCACATGAAGAATTCTCTAGCTCTAAGAGAGATGCAAATTAAAACAACTATGAGATCATCTCACCCCAGTCAGAATAGCAAAATTTAACAGAACAGCAAGCAACAAATGCTGGCGAGGTTGTGGAGAAACGGGAACCTTTTCTGGTTCCCACTGTAGGTGGGAGTGTAAAATGGTGCAACCACTGTGGAAGGTGGTATAGCGCTTTCTCAGAAAGTTGCAAAGAGAGATACCATTTAACCCAGCAATTCCACTACTGAGAATATACCCCAAAGAGACCATAACTGACATCCAAGCAGATATATACACACTCATGTTTATCCCAGCTTTGTTCACAATAGCAAGGAGTTGCACACAACCTAAGTGCCCATCAACAAATGAATGATTAGAGAAGCTGTGGTATATTCACACAATGGAACACTATGCTGCATTGAAAAACAAGGAACTCATGCAATATTATTCAAAATGGGTGACCCTGGAGGACATTATGCTGAGTGAAGTATCTCAGTCACAAAAGGACAAATACTGCATGGTGCCACTGTTGTAAAACAGGAGTGACATCGGGGCTGACATTGGGGTTGGGGGGAGAGTGAGAAAGATGGGTTCAATAATACATACTGCATTGAGTCAGATGAGGGAGATAACTGCTTAAAAGGGATATGTGATTAGGTATTTTTGTCATGACTGGAGTTCAGAGCGAAGGCTGCGTAGTGGAGTGGACCTGGGGGGAGGGATTGTAAAACAATGAAATAATTTTTATTTTACTTTTCCAAGGAGTAGTGTACTGGGGGAAGGGAGGTTTGGGAGAGGAGAAAAGTGCAACAGTGAATGAATGGAAATCCAGTCTGTAAATTTTCATTTAAATTAATAATAATTTTTTTTAAATGTGGTTGTTCAGCTTTGCCATCCTGCCAGGTTTAAACTGAGCAGGCTCATAAGAGCATCTCACTACTATTGAGAAAGAAGCAGCAGAGAGTATCGCATCCTGAGGTCCAGAGATTCCTGCTTGAATCAGAGACGAGGAGATGCAGTGAAATAGAGATGGTGGCAGTAAAGGAGGCAGAGAACAAGAAACTGGTGTGAGCTAGACCCTCTGTCTCATGGAGCCAGAGTCGAGCGCCTGGGCTGAGGCTTACTGGTGAGTACATGTAACAGAGTTGGCAGAACTAAAACAGTCTTTGTGAATACTTGCTCGATCCCGGGCAGGGCACAATGCCAAAAGGTCACAGGTCAGTGAGAGGCCTGCCTGAGAGTAGACTGGGAAGGGACCATCCTGATGGGAGAGCTATATCCTGAGTTTCCCCAATCTGAATTATAACCAGTTACTTCCTCCATCCTTTAAACACCGTAACTATGAGAAGTAAGTTCTGTGTGTCTATTGCAAGAAATTAGCAAATCTCTGGTGGCCTAGTGGTAAGGTGTTGTGCTGCCAACCCAAAGGCATGCAGTTCAGATTCACCAGCTGCTCCATGGAAAAAAGGTGGGCAGTCTCTCCACCCCTCTGCAATTAACCAAATCTGAAAACCCATTGGAGGGTGAGCTGTGAGTCGGTTCTAACTTGAAGTGCACAAGGAGCAGCAGAGTGGGGAGAGCTAAGGGAGGAATGCCTGGTATTGGCACTGATAGAAGATGTGGGAGTGTGGGGGCAAGTCAACCCTCATAGGAACCTCTTGTAGGATCTTTGTCAGCCAGATTCTAGCAGCTCCCACCCACTGCACTGTTTTCAGTGAACGAGTGAGGTGCTGGCCAGAGAGGCAAGCCCAGGCTGTTCCCCCACAGCACACAGAGATCAGCATGGAAACACAAAACCTTTATTGACACTGTCATTCCAAGGTGACCTCAGGCAGAGCAGCACCATGGCCATACCCAAAGTGACTGATCGTTGGGCAACACAAAGGCCAAGCCCTGAGACCGGCAGTCTGGGCTTGCATGCAGACACCCTCCAGGTGAGTAGTGGACACTCCACAGTCAGCACTTCCCAAATGGACAGTGGCCTGGGTGGAGGCAGAGTAGGACAAGCAGGGGATCAGGGACTTGGAGAAATTTTCACTTGTCTTCATTTCCCTTCCCAGGGACCTGCACCTCTTCCCTCCTCTGGTCTCTGAGGTCAGTTCCTGAGTGAGATGGTGGGCCCCCAAGTGTGGCATAGAGGTATGACATAGTGGATCAACAGCACAGCTCAGAATGGTGACATGGCAGCCCCCCAGTGTGGTACAGAGGGGCTCCCTCACCTCCATAGCCATTTCTCAGCAGGCCACTGCTGTCTCTTTTCCCCTCAGGCCCCCCTAAGACACACACAGACAAATTGGGGACACTTAGTGTCACCAAAGGACATTAGACACTTCTGCCCACCCAGCTTCTTCCCAGTCTCTGAGAGACCCCCACTCACCAAAGGGCCCAGCGCCCAGCTCTGGCCTCAGCTGCCCATAGTGCCCTGGAGAGAAAAGTGGCGCCCTGTGATTGATGGCCCTGTGCCAGCTCCCATCACCTCCCATCTCAGTCGGCTCACTTTCAGGCATCTCTGCTCTGCTGGCCTCTTCCTAGGCCCCGATCTCTCTGGCTATTCCTCAGTCCTCCCAGCCCACCCTCACCCCAAGAGCCACCTCCCTCTTCCATTATGCTCTTCCACATATCCCCTTACCTGGCTGGCTCTCAACTCCTGGGTAGGGACCCCTGGCTCTGGGTGCATATCCTGGCTTAGAGGCAGCCCCCCAGGGCTTAAGGGAGGGCCAGGGAGAGTCTCCAAGCGCTGAGGCCTGACCTGCAGGAGGAAGGTCACAATAGGGGTCACTGTGTCCACTGGAGCTAAACATGGGTGCCCAGTGGCCCCTTTCATCCCCTAGTGCCCCCAGGTCCTTACCAACATCCACCTGCACTCTAGACACACAAGTCTTACCATTTCCTTCAGGGGATGGGACTGCTACTTTGGGGTATGCCAGCACCTCCTCTCCATATCCTACAAGAGAGGCCCATGATCCTTGGGCTGGCCCCTACTCTTCCCCAACCCTTGACTTCTGAGTCTAACTCACCATTCCCAAAGCCATTGGCCCCAGGGAACCCTGGAGAAGCAAAAGGAATGTCAGGGGCAAGTGTGGAGCCCTAGCCCAGCAACCCCACAGCCAACCCGCCCCTTCAACTACCTGGTTGTAGGCGGGCCTCAGGGAAGTCTCCAACTCCCAGACCACCATTCCTGTAGTCAAAACCTGCCAGCGATTAAATTATAGGGCTGGGGGTGAGGGGCACAATGTATACCCGTCAGGGTGCTTGGCATAAGTAAGTTCCAGTGGCTGGAACCCACCCACCATCCTCAGAAGCAATATGGGCCATGTCCTTCAATATAGAGATGGAGGGTCACTGAGCCAGAATCCACTCAACTGTTGTTTGTGTGGGAAGGAGAGGCAGGCAGACAGACTACCCAGAGACAAGGACAAGGACCTTCCACTGACTATGCACTCTCTTCTCCCCACGCTCAACTAACAGCCCCTATGCCACCTTCAGGGTCACCTCCACCAGGAAGCCTTCCCAGCCTTTCCTCCATCTTCATCTGAACTTTCCTTTCTGCCTGGCCTCAGTCTGTCATTCTGCCTTCACCTAAGATGGGGTCCTACCTTGTTCTGGACTTAATTATGGCCCTGTGAGGAGACAGGCTCAGAGAAAAAATAGAGACAAGGGGATGGATGATGGGGTTTATAATGCCTGGAAGTGGGGGCCCAGAACACTCACCGACTTTCTGTGGCTTGAGGCCACCACTAAAGCCTGAGGGTCAGAAAGAGAGATGGGTGTCACTCTGTCTCTGCTGTGCCTGACCCCAGCAGCCACCACCCCCTAGCAGGGAAGGAAGGAGGGAGGGAGGGAAGGAAGGAGAAAAGGAAGGAAGGAAGGAAGGAAAGAAGGAAGGAACGGAGGGAGAGAGGGAGGGAAGGAAAAGACGAGTCAGCAGAGGGCCTCCTCACCCAGGTCCACTCCAGGTCCATGGCCATCTGAAGGGTAATACCCTATGAGGAATATAGACAGAGATCAGTGAGGAAGGATTGGACACTGTTTAGGGATCAAGAGTGCAGGAAGAAGGTATGGAACTGGAGGAAAGGAGCATAGAGGCAGCAAGAGAGGCTGAGGGTAGACTGAGAAGGACTACCTGGTACCAGGTGTTGAAGCATGGTGGGAAGCAGACAAAAACAAAGTGTCTCGGTGGATGCAGACATCCTCTGGGATGTGGGGTGTGGGGAGATAGGCTCGTACCTGCTTTCTGAGGTTTCAGTCCCCACTGGATGGCTGGGGTGGGTGCTAGGAAGAAAGCAGAGGAGGAGTAAGCCCAGGAGGAGGGGTGGGTGGATTGATCCTATGGGGTCACAGGGGTTGCCAAGGCCAGAATTTAGGCTCGTCCTCATCTGGTTTGCTGTGTGACACACTCGACATAAGCTGTTGTCTGGGCTATAGAACTCACCCCACCAGGCAGACCTCCTCAGCCACTACTGACCTGGGGGCTTGCCATTCTGCACAGGGGGAGGGGTCTTGGACTTCAGGCCCCAGCTGCCCCTTTTCTCTGAAGGAACCGCTGGAGTCGGGGGCCTTGGGTGGAGCAGTGGGGGTACCCCTCCATTGCAGGGACCTGTGATGGAAGGAGAGTGGGAGGTGAACCAGGTGAACTCCTCCCCTAAGCTGCCCTCTTGGTTCAACATGGACAAGCCACTAGCCTGTTGTGGATGCTGAGTAGACCCAGCACTCAAAGTGGGGCTTGGCCAACCAGAGCCTGGGACCACAATGCTGACTGGCTCTGATGGTCAGAGAGAGATGGCTGGTGGCCAGTTATGGGCATGGTCCAAGGCCTCCTACTGTGATGTCTGCCGTTTGTCTATCTAGCCTCTCCACCTTTCAGCCACATCCTTCCCACCTGCCCCTGTCCTTGTCTTGACTGCCTCACATGGCCTCCAGCCCCTTTCTGTTGCCATCAGGGAGGGAAAGCAGGGTTGTGAGGGGCAGTGCAGAAGAGGCACTGGGAAGCAGGGGTGCACTGGGCCAGGACCATGGTGGGGTTTCACCCACTCACTTGTCTTCTGGGGCTTCAAACTGCCTTCCATGCCTGTGGAGAGGACCGGAAATCAAAACACACAAATAAGAAAGCATTGTCATTGAGAAGTTCTGATCCTGACTCAGCTGGACTCTAGGAGAGACCTGCCCTCAGGGTTACCCCGTAAGCAAGGTGTGCTGGGCCCCCTTGTGCCTTTCCACCAATCTGCCAAGCTGTAGTGCTAATTTTTCCTGCTATCCAACAGGTCAGCAGTTCGAACACCAGAGCTGCTCTGAAGGTGAAGAAGCAGCCCTGGTGGTCACACTCAGTGCGTGGCTACTAATCACAGGTCGGAGGTTGTGAGAGGAGATGAGCAGCCTCGTCCTTCTATCTAAATGGAGAGTCACCGAGTCAAAGTGGACTTGTTTACTGGCTAACCCACCCTGGGCTGTCATACTTACAGAATCAAATCATCACTGACCTTTCAGTTTGCAGCTGAGCTTTAACCACTTTCCCACCAGGGCTGAAAGGACTTCCTTTAATTCCATCCCTAGCCCTGGGCACCCTGCTCCCTTCGGCACCCCCAGGCCCGGCTTGCCGCCCTCACCTGGTGGGATGCCTAACCTGTCCCCATTCCCTGGCAGGTATCCTAGGGAGAGGAGTAGAGCAGGGTATGAGGGGACCAGCTGGGGGCATAAAGGATATGGGGGTCTCTAAGGTGACAGGGAGAGGGGCAGCCTGGCCTCACCTGGTTTCTGAGGTGTCATGACCGCTCCCAGGCCTGGGGAGAAAGGGATAAAGGCTGGGAGATACGCTAACTCCTCACTACCCCTTCCTGCCCTGGCACCCACTCTTCCAAAACTGTGGGTGCCCCAGGCTCCAGCTTTCCTCACCTTGCTGGGCACCTGCTCCAGGCAAGGCTCTGGATCCCAGACCATTTCTGTACCCTGGGAAGATAGGGAGGGTGCTGTAAGGGATATGAGTGGGATTAGGGGGCAGTGCACCATTTTAAGGGGCTCAGAGGAAAAGACTCACCTGGCTTTAGAGCTTTCACTCCTCTGATTCCTGGAGAAGAGATGAGAGCAAGTGAGGGACCCCACCTCAAGTCTGGAATCTGTTCCCCAGTGCCCACCATCCCTACCTAGCCCATGGGGACCGCAGGGCCTGAGGGGGTAAGGGGCTGTCTTTTCCCCCAGCTTGAGCCCACTCACTGCCATCCATTGCACTCCTCCCTGGAGGGCTGAGAACTGCCCTCGAGATTCTTGAGGTTGCGATCCTTATGGACCAGACTTCCACAAAGAGTGACCAGTGGGTTCATACTGATAAACTTTTGGCTAGCCACTCAGTGCTTTAACCACTGGGCTACCTGGGCTCCTCCCCACTTTGAATCTAGAGACTCTGGAGCCCCCACCCCTCCCTCTACACTCTCTGAGGAAAGTGGGCATCCATGAGAGGATCCTCAGAACCAGAGCCAAGCATCCACCTCTCTATTCCCACCCCAGCCTCACAGACCTGCTCCATAGCCATTCTGAGCTGGGGGGCCTTTGGAAAGAGGGAGTGTAAGTGGGGACATTAGGGCCCTGGATGAGGTCAAGGTGAAGGTTGCCCTCTAGGACCAAACTGGAAGCCAGGGATCATGGATGCTCCCTGCATACCCTCAGATCCTGACAGTCAGTACTGCCTGTCCAGACATTTCGGGCCCACCCTGCCACACTCTGAGCCAACCCTGATTTCCAAATTATTGGAAGGGGGCACAGAGGCAGAGCTAGTCTCACCTTGCTTCTGGGGTTTCATGCCTCCTCCAAGACCTGGGGAGGGAAAAAGAGGGGGTAAGGGACCTGAGCACCTCACATCAGGGTTTCCCAGAGCCCCAACCCGGAACTTACCTAATCTATAGCCATTTTGAGCCACAGAGCCTGTGTGTAGAGAAAGTGGGAAGGAAGATGTTTGAGTGTGATATCAGGAGGGGCCAGTCGCTAGAGAAGGACACCATGCTTGGAAAAGCAGAGAGCCAGAAAAAGAGGACCCTCAGAGGTGAATTGATGCAGTGGCTGCCATGATGGCTGTGAGCATGCAGAGAGGGTCCACAGTGGGCCTGGGCACAGCAGAGAGGGTCCACAGTGGGCCTGGGCACAGCAGAGAGGGTCCACAGTGGGCCTGGGCACAGCAGAGAGGGTCCACAGTGGGCGTGGGCACAGCAGAGAGGGTCCACAGTGGGCCTGAGCATAGCAAGGAGGGTCCACAGTGGGTGTGGGCACAGCAGAGAGGGTCCACAGTGGGCCTGGGCACAGCAGAGAGGGTCCACAGTGGGCGTGGGCACAGCTGAGGGGTACACAGTGGGCGTGGGCACAGCAGAGATGGTCCACAGCAGGCGTGGGCACAGCAGAGAGGGTCCACAGTGGGCGTGGGCACAGCAGAGGGGTCCAAAGTGGGCAGGCATGGGTGCAGCAGAGGGGGTTCCACAGAGGGCATGGGCACTGCAGTGGGGATCCATCCACAGCAGGCGTGAGTATAGAAGTTGAGCCAACCAGGACCAGCAGGGTTTCCTTCCGTTGTGCCCAGAGCCGCTAAGGGCATCTAACGATAGCAACTCTACATGGATGACTGCATACAGACAAGACCCGAACCCAGACCCACTGCAAACCCTCGGTACAGACTCAGTGGCCTAGCCCAGGAAACAGTTGTTTGCCATAGGACTCAGGGCGGATCATGGCTACCCTAGCAGAGACTCCAGGCTGGGTCTCTAATAAGAAACCCTTGTTACAAGTGCTCCTTTCTGATCAGTGTGGGGCTCTGGCGGGCACGCGTGGCACATTGAGATCAGGGACCAGGGAGGAAGCAGATCCCAACTCCCATACCAGCAGCAGTGTCATGTGCCCGATCACACTCCCCTCACACTCCTGCCCCTTGCAGTCAGCACTGTCAGTGACCCCACTCCTCACACTCCACTGTTCATCTCCTCAGGGGAAGAACAGGCAGCAGGGATGTGCTCAAGGTTGGGGTCCCTGGGCCTCCCCTCCTCTCTTCCTCCACAGGAACCCCAGACACACTGGATTCAGGAAGTGACTGTGGAACCCTGCCCGGTGCAGGCAGAAATGGGGCTGAGCTGGCTTCTGGCCTTTCACATCCCCTCCTAGACCTGGGGAGGGACAGAGAGGCTGACCCTGGCCCCACCTGTCTTCCTGGGGTGCTGTTCCTTCAGATCTTGTTCTCATCTCCTCTGCCCACCTCCCAACCCCTCAGGGCCTGGCCCAGTAGCCACACCTGGCCAATGGGCTCCTAGCCCATTTCCATTACTATATCCTGGGGAGGAAAATGGGTGTGAGTGGGCCTGGGGAGAAAGTCTGGTGGAGGCAGAACTTTTCTCCTCCCCGGCTTCCAATGTCTACCCCCCACTGCTGAGGGGTCTGCCCCCCACCGCTGAGGCCGGGGTAGAGGCAGAGCCACATCCACCTCCAGTCACGACCCAGTTGGCTGCTCTGACCCCTCCCTCCGAGAAGGCAGATTTCTAAACTCTCCCCTATGGCACAACTTACAACCAAACAATAGACAAGTTTATAAGGTGAATAGTAACACCAGGGAGGAACTGGTTCCTTAGAACAATCAACCATCTGAGATCAGACGGGCAGCATTTGTCCAGGTAGAAAGCTCCGAAGGCAGAAAGGGATAGAAGGGTGGATGGAAATGAGAATCACAAGGGGGAAGTGGGTAGTGTGCTATCACCATGTGGGGGCTATAATTAATGCCATAAAACATCTGTAAGAATGAAGACCTAGAAAACCAATTGCTGTATAAATTTTATCTAAAAGCAGGACTGAGAAAAGCAGCAGCTAGGTTCTTGTCTCTGATGTCCCCACCTGGCTGGGCTCCTGCTTCAGGAAAGGTCCTGTCTCCTAGTCCAGTCCCATAGCCTAAACAGAGAGATGGAGGGATGATTGGTGGTGCTTAGAGATTCAAGGGGTTCACAGCTAGAGATAAAAGCAGGGCTCACCTGGCTTCTGGGGTTTCACATCCCCTCCAAATCCTAGAGGAAAGATGCGGAGCAGGTGAAGGACTGGGAGTTTCCATCTCAAGCCCCATCAGCTCCTCCCCAACACTGCGCCTACCTGCTCTGTAGCCACTCTGGGCTGCTGGGCATGCAGGGAGAGGGCAGGGTAAGCTGGGAGGTTTGGAATCTCAGCTGAAATTGGGGTGTAGAACCCCTGGACACATCTCTTCCTCCTTCACTTCCACTTCCCACCACCCCTCAGTCCTGCCCTTAAAGCCTGGGAAGAAGACAGTCAGGCCCTGAGACCCTTCATGCGAGGAGACAGCGTGAGAAGGGGCTTCCTGGATCAGCTGACAAAAAAACCCTAGGGTCTGCCGCTTCACTGTCCAAGGCCTGAGAGAGGGAAGACCCCAGGCAGGGACCCCTACCCAGACCCCCCACTCTTACCTGGCTGGGCTCCCAGCCTGTGCCCGTTCCCAAATCCTGGAAGACAGATGAAAGGAGAGTGAGAAGGGACACTTGGTTCTAAAGGAGACAGAAGGAGGCAACTTGGGTGTGTGTGGGCTCACCTGGCTTCTGAGGCTTCACAACCCCTCCATAACCTAGGGGAAATGGGGTGTGACTTAAGGACCCAGGATCCTCCAAGTCACCCAATAACCCTATCTTCCTGAAGCAGTCCTTCCCCCCAATACCTGCTTCATATCCATTCTGAGCTGGGGGGCCTGTGAGAAGAAGAGGGTGAGGAAGGGAGTTTTAGACCTGGATGAAGTGAAGTGAAGAGAAGGTCCTCCCTCAACCAAGAATCTTAGAGGTTCCCTCCCTACTCCCCCTAGTTATTCACCAGTCTTGCCCTTTAAGACATCCTAGATGACCCTTAATTGTCCCCACCAGACCCCAGGCCCACCCTTGCTCTGCTCACCTGGCTGGGCTCCCAACCCGTGCCCATTCCAGAATCCTGCGGACAGCAGGGTGGGGTGTGAATAAGGGGAGGAGGCTCTGGGTCTTGGAGGTACAGAGAGAAGCAGGGATAGGTAGAGCTTACCTGGCTTCTGAACTTTCATACCCCCTTCAAGACCTGGGGAAAGACAGGAAACAAGTGAGGGATCCCACGATCCCCATTTGGGGGCCTCCCAGCACCCTGGGCCTGCTCCTACCTGGTCTATAGCCATTCTGAGCTGAGAGTCCTGGTGGAACGAGAGAAAGGGCAGCGGGGTCAGGGCTGTCTATTGTTCCCCCCACAAGGCCAGGCCTCTTTGGCTCTAACTCCAACCCCATCTATCTATATCAGGGCATAGTGTGTTTGGTGCATGCTTGCGCAAGGAGATGCCATTTAGGCTGCCCCCACCCCCTCTGCCCCTTGGCCCTGACCCCCTGGCCCCTACACCCTCTAGCTGGCTTGGTGACCTGGTTTCTGCAAACTATGTCCTGCTGGTGTCCCCAGCATCTCCCTCCCACTCTAGTCCTGGTGGCTCCCAGCAACCACATGCACATATACCAGACACTACCAGCCACCCCAGGACTCCACACCCCTCTCCTGATTCTGAGGACCCCTCACTTCCTGCACTCCCCTCCTCTCGCTACCCCTTCCCAAACCCCCTTCTGAGTCGTTTTTTCTCTACCCAGCCCTTCTAAGGAGCCATTCTCCTTTGTACCTATGCTCTGTCTGTCCCAGCCCCATCAGCCACACAGAGTCTCCAAGTTGGAGCCCAGGTTTCTCTGGAGATACCACATCTGGATGCCTGGGTCCCATCTCCTTAGGAGTCACCACCCCAACACGTCAACTACCCAGAAAGGAGGATTCCTGGGTTCTCCTTTCTCTCATAGGCATACCCAATCAGCACAAACTCCTCCCAACCTGACCTTACAGCTGATTCTGGGGCCTGTCACCCTCTCTGGTCCCCTCCCCATTCTCCAGGGGACTGTGGCCAGCTGTCTCCTACTCATATGTCCTCTTGCCGTGCTGGCCCAGCAGCACTGGCCACCATAATGTATCCACCATGTGTTCCAGCTGGCCTTCCTTCCCATCAAGGCTCAGGTCCTGGGGGCCCATCTCCAGCAGGGAAACAGAAAGAGGTATGGCCCACAGATGCTTGTTGAATGAGCAAGCAACAAGAGAGTGGAGGAGACGTGAAGGTGGAACTCACCTGGCTTCTGAGGTTTCAGTCTTCCCACAGGGCCTGAGAAGGAGGAGAGACTGTCCAGGAATACCCTTGCCTACCCCCACTGTAACTCAAGAAAGGATTTTTGGGAGCTCTGGTGGCCTAGTGGCAAGAAGCTGCACTGCAATCCCAGAGGAACACGGTTCAAATCCACCAGATGCTCTGCCAGAGAAGGAGGCGCAATATCCTCCTGTACCAGTCAGATCTAATTTGACGGTACACGCACACAAAGTAATAAAAAATAAAAAAAAAATTAAAAAAAAAAAGAAAGGATTTTTGTGTCCAGAACCCCAGAGCCTCACCTGGCTGAGCTCCCAGCCCATTCCCAAATCCTGGCAAGACAAAGAAGAAGGGAATTAGGGGCAGGAAGGGAGGCTCTGAGACTTTGGAAGTCACAAAGCAATAATGAACAGACAGGGACAGAGTGGGGCTTACCAGCCTTCTGGGGCTTGCCACCACCCACAAAGCCTAGAGGAGAGTGGAAGAACAAATGAGGGACCCAAGGGGCCTTCACCTCTGTGCCTGGCCCCTGGGATTCTAGCCCCCCGGACCCCCTGCCTCTCTGCCTTCACCTTTCTCCTACCTGGGCCAAAGCCACCTGGAGCTGCAGGGCCTGCTATAGGGAAGACACAGAAAAAACTTAGTGGCATTAAGTGTGTTGGCAATGAGGCTGGGGGCTGACTGAATCCTAGCTCCCGTTACTTTGTCCCATGATCCCCTGTGCTCCCCACACCACCTCTCCATTCAGGCAGGCTGAGGCCCAGAAGTGGGGAAGTGACTGTGGGCCTGCCCCTTCAAAGAGGCTAGGGAGGGGTATGCACCAGGTCCAGCTATACACCTTCCCAGGTCTCCCCTGTCTACAGACTTACTGCTATGTGCAGTCCAGTCCTCTCTGATTCACAGCCACCCCAGGGACAGAGCAGAACTGCCCCACAGAGTGTTCTATGCGGTGCTTACAGCAGATCCCCAAGGGGATGTTGCTTTTGGGAGCAACTGGAGGTTTGGTACCACTGACCTTTAGGTTCATTACTGAGCACGTAAGGCTTGTGAGACCAGGGCTACTTATTAGATTTCCTAAAAGCTGTGACAACCTAGTGGCAAGAGGTTGTGCTGCAATTTCAAAGGCACACAGTTCAAGGCCACTAGCTGTTTTGCAGGAGGAAGGTGGACAATCTTCTCTCATGCAAGTAACTGCTTCTGAAAACCCACTGGAGGGTCAGCTATGGGTCAGTTCCAACAAATAGGTGTCAAGGAGCTCAAGTATTGTTGTGTATAAAATTCTGGGCTGTTAACTGAAAGGTGGACAGTTCGAATGTACTAACTTCTCTTCAGGAGAAAAACAAGGCAACTCCCCACTATAAAGGTGTCACGGCCTTGGAACCCTACAGGGCAGTTCCACAGCGGTGGACAGTGTTGCTTTGAGTCTGACTGTGATGCTTGCAACTGCTTTTTGGCTTCTCTTACTGTTGTTGAGTCAGAACCTCCAGAAGATTTTCAGACGCCATAAATTAAACCGGAGCCTAGGGCCCATTTCTCTCGCTCTCTTTTTTAAAAATATTTTTTTTATACTGGTTTACTTAACAAAGTTTGTATACATTGTTTCTCACACCGGATCTTTCCCATTTCCTTTACCCACCCCTTCGTCTACCCATCAAATAGGGCGACCCTGTGATTTACCCCTGCCCATCCTCACCCCCCTACTTCTCCCTCTTCCACTTGGATCCTCATACACCTTTTATTAGTTATTTTTCTGTTTCTTAAATAGCTCATCTCTCTTATGGTGGATTCAAACCACCCTGCCTTTGGTTTGACAGGGCAACTCCTTCCTCAATAGGGCTCAGATTAGACAGTTTCTTCCCATCTTGTGTTGGAAAATACTCCATCAACCTCTCACCAAGTGTCTGGGAGCAAATGGAAGTGCTTACAAATAAGGCCTTTCACTTCCCGCTGTAAACTTCCAAACCCTAAAGATGTGGCCGGAAGTCCTTAGAAAACGTCTAGCTCTCCCCTAGCTGTAAGCCCCGCCTCCGCCACAGGCCCCGCCCCGGCCTGGCCTCTGTCCCACCCATAGGCCCAACCCCACCAAAAGCCCTACCCCTGTCATAGGCCCCGCCCCAGCCATAGGCTCCGCTCCAGCCCTGGACCTCGCCTCACCCACATGCCCCGCCCCATCACGGTCTCCGCCCCTGTCATCGGCCCCACCCCATAATAGGCTCCTTCTTGGTCATAGCCCCCGCCCTCTCACTTCCTTCCCTTGAATCATTTCTTTGATCCTTACTCATCTCTGTGAGGGCACACTGGTTATTGAGCTTGAGGGCTGAGCCCATGATGACAAGACAGGGTCAAGCGTGCCCAGCTCCGTGTCCTCAGTGGCCCTAGCTCAGGGTAGGTGTTTCGGAGGCATTCATTGATGAATGAGCCCCAAAGAGCTCGATGAGAGTCCCTAACCTTACTCTCACACTGATCCTCACCTGGTGGGGCTCCCAGGCCGTTCTTACCACTACTGTAACCTAGAGAAGAGAAACCAGGGGTTGCTGAGGAGGAGCTGGGTGGGTCTAGAGCGCAGAGCAGGGCAGGGGCTGGGGCCCTGAGTCACCGGGCTTCTCTGGCTTTTCACATCTCTTCCCAAGCCTGGGCAGAGACCAGAGAGCCTGCGCCCAATGAAAACCCCACCTACCCTCCAGAAAGCAGTGTTCTGCCATCCCAACCTTAGACTCCCTACTTTTTAACCCTAGAGCCCCACCTGGCACACCTCACCTGACTGGGCTCCAGCTTCCGGAAAGGCTCCAAGCCCATTCCCGTTGCCCAGTCCTGGAGGGATTGGGGAATACAGATCGGGAAGGAGTAGGGGAGGCCAGTTTGCCCAAGGGTACATGGACACAGGGACAGGGCAGAGTTTACCTGGTTTCTGAAGTTTCACACCCCATGAAATGCCTGAGAATGGGATGGGGCCTGTGAAGAAGCCAGAAGCGCCTCAGCTGCCTTGAACCCAAGCATATGGCCCCAGCCCCCAGCAATTTCCCTACCTGGTCCGTGGCCGTTCTGAGCTGCAGCCTCTGTGGGGAGAGGGGCACAGCGGCTGAAACTAAGTTTCCCACCCCTAGAGCCTGATGCACCCCTAGACAGTTCCCTTAGCAAGCAGGCCTAGGGTGCAATTCTGGAAGACCCTCCAGGCCCAAGACCATAGCAAGAAGCCTATTGCATCCTGTCCTGAGAAAGCATAGGCAGACAGGGCAGAGGTGGGGCTGAGGAGGGGGGACATGAGGACGGATGTGGGGGGAGATAAGGGTGTGGGGGAGATGGGG